TGCCTGTAATCCCAGCTACTCAGGAGGCTGAGGCAGGAGAATTGCTTGAACCTGGGAGGCAGAGGTTGCAGTGAGCCGAGATTGCACCACTATACTCCAGCTGGGCGATGAGCAAAACTCCGTCTCAAAAACAAAACAATACAAAACAAAACTATTCTTCTTCCAGCAGATTATGTTTACATGATGAAAACCTCTCCCCATCACCATTTATTTAGCTCCTGTGTGTTAGACATTATTCTTTCACAATTTCATTTAATGCTCATAACTATTTAGTGCAGTCGTAGATAGTATAATTCTCATTTTATAGGTAAATTAACTGATGCTCAGAGAGGGTAAGTAATCAGCCAAGGGCAGAACTGGAATTAATCTCAGGTCTTTCTCTCTCAAGTTCAGGTTTTTTTGTTTTGTTTGATTTTTGAACCTAAGATACAGAGGTCTGAGTTGAATGTACTCAATTCATGGTATGTTTTCATCAGTGGTTGTCCTTGTATTTCTTTTTCTGTGTTTTCCAGGTTGGGGGTGTAAGATCATGGCTCACTGCAGTCTCGACTTCGGTTCAAGCGATCTTCCCATCTCAGCCTCCAGAATAGCTGGGACTGCAGGCACGTGCCACCATGCCTGGCTAATTTTTGTATTTTTTGTAGAGATGGGGTTTCATCACATTGCCCAGGCTAGTACTGAACTCCTGGACTCAACTCATCCACCTGCCTCAGCCTCTCACAGTGCTGGGATTACAGGAGTGAGCCACCACACCTGGCCTATATTTCTTGGATCTTCACGTTTGTGATCTAACTACACTGTGTACAAATGGGATGAACCAGTATTTGCCAATATTCGAACATTTTTGACCTACAAATAGAGCAACCTGATATGGTTCGACCAAATATGTATGTTACAGTTATTATTATACATGGTGGTCACTGATTCATATACATTTAGTTCAGTCGTATTCTTGTCTGTATGGTCAGCACTTATGTTAGGCCCTCAGGAAAAGCTGACAGAACCGATGGATCACTGCCGGTCTGAAAAGGAAATGAGGAAAACAAATTCTCCTACCTTGAACTATTCTGCAAACTTTAACCAGGGGTAAGTGTTTATCTGGGCTTCTTGGACCATGATAAGGGCTTAGGGTTTACTCAGTAGAGGCCAACCCAGCATGCGTAGAATCATAATATTTCAATATTAAAAAGAATGCTCCGTTTTTCAGAGTGGAAGTGAGGCCTTGAAAATTCCAATTAATTGCTCAAAGTCCTATTCGTTTTTATTTGAACTAGTAAATATAAAATTATACCAGAATTCAGATAGAGTGCCTTGATAATACATTGTTTTGAAAAGTTTTGATTTTTTTTTTTTTTTTTTTTTTTTGAGACAGAGTCTCACTGTGTTGCACAGGCTGGAGTGCAGTAGAGTGATCTTGGCTCACTGCAACCTCCACCTCCTGGTTCCAGTGATTCTCTAGCTTCAGTCTCCCAAGTAGTTAAGACTACAGGCACCCACCACCACGCTCAGATACTTTTTGTATTTTTAATAAAGACAGGGTTTCACCATGTTGGCCAGGCTGGTCTCGAACTCCTGACCTCAGGTAATCCTCCCATCTCGGTCTCCCAAAGTGCTGGGATTACAGGTGTCAGCCACCACCATGCCCGACCTTCAATTAACTTTTTAATGTTTATTATTTTACTCTGATACTAAAAATTATGCATGTTTAACATGAATAAGGATACAATCACTTCTATACACACATGCATACATTTACATCTATGCCTCTATATTAAAAACTATGGGAAAAAGAAATGGGGAGATGTAGGTCAAAGAATACAAACCAGCAGATACGTAGGATGAAGAAGTCTAGAGGTCTAATGCACAACATGAAGACCATAGTTCATAACGTTGTATTGTATCTGAGTTTTTTGTTAAATAAGTAGATTTTAGCTGCTCTTGTCATACTTTACACAAGCCTTTATGTGACAGTACAGATATGTTAATTCATTTCACTATAGTAACCATTTTACTATCTATATATAGCCCATAACATCATGTTATAAATCGCAAATACACACAATGAAATTTATTTTTATTTATTTTATTTATTTCTGAGACAGAGTCTTGCTCGCTCTGTTGCCCAGGCTAGAGTGCAGTGGTATGATCTCAGCTCACTGCAACCTCCGCCTCCCTGGTTCAGGCAATTATCCTGCCTCAGCCTCCTGAGTAGCTGGGATTACAGGTGCCCACCACCATTCCCGGCTGATTTTTGTAATTTAGAAGATCACCTCAAGTGATCTTCCAGCTTCCGCCTCACAAAGTGCTGGGATTACAGGTGGTAGCGACCACTGCATCATCCATCCCAGTATAATTTATTTTAAAAAAAACTATGAGTTCAGGCCGGGTGCAGTGGCTCATGCCTGTAAACCCAGCATTTTGGGAGGCCAAGGTGGGCGGATCACCTGAGGTCAGGAGTTTTGAAACCAGCCTGGCCAACATGGTGAAACCCCGTCTCTACTAAAAATACAAAATTAGCTGGGCGTGGTGGTGCATGCCTGTAATCCCAGCTACTTGGGAGGCTGAGGTAGGAGAATCACTTGAACTCGGGATGCGGAGGTTGCAATGAGCCGAGGTCATGCCATTGCACTCCAGCCTGGGCAAAAAGAGCGAAACTCCACTTAAAAAAAAAACAACCAAAAACCCAAAAAACAAAACAAAACCAACTATGAGTTCACACTGATACCTCCAATTCCAATACAATAGCATAGGGTATTCTCCCTTCCCATACTTCTAACTTCAGTCTACCACAGTGAGAAAGCTGGCTCTGTCACGTTTAATACATTTAGTGACTTAATCAATCATCCTGAATGCAACTAACCTCCCATCTAAGCTTCTAGGCCTTTCCCACTTGGATGCCTTGTTCTCTGGTCTTGGGCTCTAGGGCTAAGACTCTGTGTAGGGCTGCCTCCCAGGCGTTCAAGCCCTCTTTACCTTCTCAGGTTCCTCAGCTTCCTTACCTGGTAGGTCACTGACACTTGGCTGTGGACAACCTGGTGTAGATGTTCCTTTGTTCTGTACACCTAATGTCTTTGGCCCTGAATATTTTAGGATGGAAAAGGGGAAGAGGAACACTGAATGTGCACTTCGGAATGGGTATTGTACCTCTTATTTTATGAAGTTCTTTATTCACATTTTATTTCTTTAGTAATTCACAGAACAGGAATTTTTGGATTAAAGTTTTTTGTTTTGTTTTGTTTGTGTTTTTTTTTTTTTGAGACAGAGCCTCACTCTGTCGCCCACGCTGGAGTGCAGTGGTGCGATCTTGGATCACTGCAACCTCCGCCTCCCAGGTTCAAGCAATTGTCTGCCTCAGCCTCCCAAGTAGTTGGGATTACAGGCGCCCACCACCACGCCCAGCTACTTTTTTGTATTTTAGTAGAGACGGGGTTTCACCATTTTGGTCAGGCTGGTCTTGAACTCCTGACTTCGTGGATCCACCCGCCTCGGCCTCCCAAAGTTCTGGAATTACAGGCGCGAGCCACTGCGCCCGACCTGGATGAAAGTTTTTCATAGGAAGTCTTGCTCTGTAGCCCCGGCTGGTGTGCAGTGGTGCGATCATAGCTCACTGCAGCCTCAAACTCCCGGGCTCAAGTGATCCTCCAGCCTCAGCCTCCTCAGTAGCTTGGACTACAGCTGCACACAACCATGCCCAGCTAATAGAGATGAGAGTCTCACTATGTTGCCCAGGCTGGTCTCGAACTCCTGGGCTCAAGTGATCCTCTTGCCTGGGCCTCCCAAAATTGAGACTACAGGCGTAAGCCACTGCTCCTGGCCCGAAACAGTGTTTTTAAAGCTTTAAAAAATATGCCAATATGGTGAAAACCCGTCTCTACAAAAATACAAAAAGTAGCCGGGCATGACGGCAGGTGCCTGTAATCCCAGCTACTCTGGAGGCTGAGGCAGGAGAATCGCTTGAACCTGGGAGACGGAGGTTGTAGTGAGCCGAGATCGCGCCACTACATGCCAGCCTGGGCGACTGAGGGATACTCCGTCTTAAAAAAAAAAAAAAAAAATTTCCCCAAG